TTGGACATTTTTCTGATGAGGGTGTCACGGTCAACAGTCAAAACGATCGTCCTTTAAGAGCGTTTGGAAAGAGACAAGTCTTCATTTGTGCTGCTCTGGTGGGAGGGGCCACGTACAGAGACGCTGGAGACGCTGCTGTGATAAACACCACAGAAAATTACCAGTATTTTAATAGAAAAAATAATTAAAATATTTTAATAGAAAATCACCCAAGGGCCACATTAAAGGTCTTGGAGGGCCGGATCTGGCCCCCGAGCCTTATGTTTGACACCTGTGCATTAAACGATACGATATATCGATATTACAATATTTTTGCACACCCCTAGTGCACATGGACTCACACTTGTTCCGAACACAACAAAAAGCATGGAATTTCTTGTACAAGTCATCGTTAAATACACATTTGTGCTTCGGTACGTTGTAGAATGACTGAATGTTTGTGTCTCGCTCCTTCTGAGTGCAGAGAGACACATGTACACACCTGTTTGGTCACACTACACACAACAACCTACATTCGGTTTGTCGATTAAAATGAACGTAATCGATGAAATTCTTAATGATCAATTATAGATTAATCGATTAATCATGCCCATCCCTAGTTGACATGCCACGTTTTAATAAGAAGTCCATGCATGCTAATAGAAAGATGATAGCCATCCCCAGTGTCAGTCAGTGTGTACTTTTCCACACACATGGACTCAGCCTGACAGCTCTTTTGAACATTTCAACCTTCCATCTTCTACCATCAATCAACCAGCGCGCGTCATCAAGTTTAACCCGGCTATCACTCGCACGCATACGCCGAGTTGGCTATACGCGCTCTGTATAGGTGGTCTTCTGTAGAACTCATTTATGGAGATGTGCTTTGGAGTGGTAATGCTCTCACCCGTATCCATCTGGCTGCTTCTCACAAAGAGCTATGTCTTTCAAATATGGAGGATGTACCGGTCTTTGTTCAAATCTCAAGGACTTGAAACCATCAATAGGCCTATTTTTTATTTATTTTTTTTATCTTCCGTGTAGTGCGCAGACAGATTGGAGTTTCGTGGAAGCGGGGCTGGTGGGGTGGAGGGTACGAGGTTGTTTGTTCTGATTGGGAAGAGATATTTGCTGATAAAGTACAAGATAAGAGAGATGGAGGGGATGTTCTGTTTTTATGCAGGATCAAAATGGAATGAAAAATAAGGAATATAAAGGCAATTTAACAAAGTGTGTAACTGAAGAGGAGACACTGTCAGTCATTATGGAATTAAAGCGGTGGTATTTTCCTTCTGTGGGGTATTAACAACTGAAACATTACCTTTTATGTTTTATAAGATTCACTTTTGCTCTGATTCTCTCCTCCCTTAGCTCCCCACACTAAGTCACTCCACCTTCAGAGCAATATCACATCAAAAACAACTGAACATCACATCAGGTTTGTCAAGTTGTACTATATTGTTTTGTATATTTATGGAGAATTGTTGTGTGGGAGCCTGGGTTGATTGTGGGCGGAGCCTTGGACAAATCTTACAACTATCCATAGGAAGGGTTTGAATAGGACCTGGGAAAGTAAATAATTTATATAACACTTTTCTGTCCCCAAAGACACTTTACAGAGCATTATTCAGCCACATTCACTCTATACCTTGAATTGATTGTATTTAACTGACCTTGACTGTCAACTGTTCTTGGAGACCTGGAGCAGGTTTTGGGTTGATGGGGGAAACCAGAGCACCCAGAGGAAACCCATCCAGACACAGGGAGAAACATGCAAACTCCACACAGAAAGGCCCGGGTGACCCGGGGATCAAACCCAGAACCTTCTTGCTGTGAGGCATGAGTGCTAGTCACTCAGCCACTGTGCCATCGAGAAGATCACAACATTACTCAAATGTCATACTCATGTATGACATTTAAACCTTATGGTAGAAGATGGTAGAAATAGATTTTTAAAATCAAAATCTAATCCAAAAGTGATTTTGGATAATACACCCCTCTTTAATGACTGCATTTATAAATGTTCACTTCAAAAATATCTACATAACCTGGGCTCAAATCTAGTTTTGACGAGTTTGAACAAATTTGTCTTTATTTACTTTACACATTTACTTGTGTTGCTTAATTTATTTCACTGTTTGATTTAAATTCAAAATGGTGAGAAAATACTCCTATTAATTATTAATATAATCCGTAATCAGTAAGAAATGGTAGAATTTAGTTGCTATTATTTCATAAATCACATTTTGTCAAAACAAGATTCATATTCTTAAATCATGTGATTTCTAATCAGATCCACAAGTGGAAAATGTTACGAATGGAACTGATCACGTGTACAAACTAAGGCACGTTCACCTGCGCCCATAATGCAGACTGAGTGTCTGGAGAAAGTGTGATGTTCTAAAGTAAATTAATTGAATGATGATTTTGATAAGGATGATAATTTTAAGATGCTGAAAGAACTGGGAGTGGATGATGATACAGAATTGTTAAGATGCTTCGGACATTATAACACATTCTCTTTGTATGTTTGATTTTTTGAACTATAACATGAACCTGCCCAGGGACGACAGGTGGAAATGAGCACTGGTGCGACAATCTGGTACAAGACATCTTAAGGTTAATGTAAATTGTGCACTGTCCCTGTCTCATTAAATAAGTAAACTACACTAAATATTCAATTTTTTTGCAGTGTATGTTTTTGAGGTGCACATGATACTATGTCAAATTCATCATCTCTTCCTTTTAGTGTCACAATACAAGAATTTCATACAGTGTGATCTTATATCTTACATCATTCTAAACACATTCAGGAAAGGTTTGTTTTTGTCCTGTGAATATGACTTTTTAATATCAATACCTGTTCAAATAAGTTGAAATACCGGCCTTAGTTTTAATATTATACGATTTTCAAAACGTTTGAAAACCCTAGTCCCTTTTAAACAAACGTTTCAGATTCAGTCATATATTTTTGCCTACACCCTCATGCTGCTGCTCCCTCTCAGGTCCAGTTCTCTCAGACAGTGGACAGTGACAGTGGACAGAAAGGTCACGGTTGACTTGACCTCTTCGTACTCTCCAGGACCAATCACACACGCTGTTTACTTCCCGGCTCGCTCTGTCTCCACGGCGCGTTCGAGAGCACGTCAAAAACCAGCTCTCAGACTCACGGCCGGTACATCATTAACATTAATTAGAATAAATTTGCCTGTCGAGAGCGCAATTATTTTGTTACCACACAAATTGGTTATAGGTCTAATTGCAGATTACAGCCGAATGAGTGACTCGCGGCTCTGTGGAACAATGGGCTAATACTTAAGCTCATGACATGTCTGAGTAACTGCGAGGGCGCGTGGGATGCTAATCTCTAAAGCTTCCACATTATGAATCATTCAGCCTTTCAGCGCTCTGGGACCACTTCCATTTTGGAGTTCACAGATAGAAGTGGGTACTACTTATGTATATTTACTCACTTATATGGACTTAAGTAACTTTTTGAAAATATATTCTACTTGTGCTGCAGTTTTCAGACACTGTACTCTTACTTGAGTAAAGGTTTTGGTTCCTCTTCCCACTGTGAGTATATTTACAAGTAACAAAAGCTTCATGGTGACAATATTAAAGACTTTGTACCAGAGTTTTAATTTTTAAAAACATGAAACAGAATCTGTACTGTACGTTTTGTCTTTTGTTATTTTTTGGTTACTCTTCGAAGACCAGGTATCCAGACATAGTATTTTAAGTTAAGAAATTAAAAGTGCACTGTGGAACTTTCTGATTGAGGGTCCTTTACCTGCTTGTTTCTCTGGATATGTCAATGTACTGTCTGGAATGTTCCACAGTATGACAACAAACAGCTCTACTTTATATTTATTCAACTACAGATTCTTGTATAGCTAAAAAATGCCTAGAAAAACAGGCATTCCTATTGTGAGCAAGGTCGCCTCTCCACAGATCTGACCTGTAACTTCTGGTCTGATCTGGTTTGGTTTCCATGGTGCATTTGATGGACCCTCCACCAGGAAAGTTAATCATCTCTAACCTTCCAAACCTGAGAACAATTTTAGTACATAGTTCCTCGCCTGGGTTTTTTTTTTTTTTTTTTTTTTTTCATTTAGTTATTAAAACTCCCCTTTTACCCCCTAATGAAGTGTTATATTTCTTTTTTTCTCAGTACAACCTGTTATTTCACAATCTGCTGCTGTAGTTGTGTCATATGACTGTAATAAAAGCTACAGGACCAGAAATACACATGAAAAATAAATAAATAAATAAATAAAAATAAATAAATACAATTCACACACAAGTGCAATGTCCCCATGACTTTCCTGGTGTCAGTCATGGAAACAGCTGGTGTCAGGTCCAGGACACAGAGCCACATCACTTCCTGCATTTCCATGAGGTTTATTACATTTGGATTTGGACATTTGGACTGAACTAAACCTTTCAAATAAAAATAGGAAGAGATGCACAATTACAGAGACTAAGATGCGTAATTTTCCATTTATTTGAGAAATATCTGCACTTAGAGCGACTTTTTCAATTGTTACAAACACAGACACTCAGAGCATCGACCATTTTGACTCACTACACTCTTTGGGAAAGTTTGGGCCAATCAAAATGGACGGAGAACATGAGTTTGATGGAAAACAAAGTTCCTATTGGACACTCGTTTTCCCTATATCATCACGCAGTGTGTGACAGAGGATAATGCCAGAACTATGCTCAGAATGCTGAAACTGTCAGCTTTTCAAGGGAGAAAAAGTCAGTTTCTATCTTTTACAGTTAGAGAATTATGCACGGTTATGTAAAAAAATATTCCCAGGAATTGTATACAATACTATCACTCAGAGGTTTTACAGGAGACTTATTATGAGGGTTGTGTTTTGTGTGCAGAATAAGGCAGGAGATTTTTTTGTTTTGTCGTGGAAATTATGGAGGCCTTCTTTAAAAACTGCAGCCTTTGTGACTGACCAACTTTGCTGATTCGAGTTGTTGCTGTATAAAACCTGGTGCCCTACCTCTCCAGAGAAGGCTTGGCCGTTGAGCAGGTGTTCTGAGCCCTGTCCGTCCTCGCTCCCGAAGTGTAGCCTTATCTCCTCCAGACGATGGCTGTAAGTCATTGGTCCTCCTGAGATGTTCACCAGGTGCTCTTTGTCCAGTCGCAGGGACACGTGGCGGCCCGTGTTGTACATGGTCCCGCCCACCTGGACAAGACAGAATGACATCTGGTTAGTAAAGCAGACATTAACGAAGAAAGTGGAGTTCGTGAGTCGTGTTTTCAATTGTTTCACAGTATCTGAACATCATCCAGGAAGCCATATATTACAAGCTATATACCTAATTTTGCTGCCATTGCCTCTCAACCAATCAGCTCCAACAAACAAACTCCCACATTCCTCTAAAGGTGGAAACTGTTGACATTAAAGAGCCATTAAACACTCTCCCGAACCTTTACTCTGCCCCTAAGCAAAATCTAAAAAAATCCAGCGTGGACAGTGCTCAGTAGGTTGGGGGGAGCGAGTGTGGGGTGGTGCCCTGTGGGTTGGGGGGGGGAGCGGGTGTGAGGCGGGTTCTGGAGCGATGATTGACACCCGACTGACAGCCACAACAATCCAACACAGCATGGACCGGTGCACTCCAGACTTTGAAACAGACCGGACATTTGGGCTCGGATCACAACGTTTCCCTTTTATCCAGACACGGAGGGACGTGGCGGTGCCCGGCGGTGCCAGGTGGGGGCCGGGCTGTAAGGGGCTCTTCTCATCCCGCCCATAGACGCCAGTGACTGTGCTCATCACGTAATAACCTGCATCTGACTCACTGGCCATTAGTCCAACCCGAAAATTCAAATGTACCGTATGTTCTGGGCTATTAGACGCGCTCTTAAGCCTCTAACCGCATCAAAAAACGACCGCGCGCCACAATCCAGAGCGCCCCATACACAAACCCACTCGGGTGTCCCCGCACGACTTCAGTAAACTACAAACACACACCACCCACAGAACACACAAACACACACGGAGCAGACAGCGACCACACAGAGAAAAACACCCACAGACACACTCATCACTCCACGCCGACGAGGAACGGAATGGAGGAACGAACCGAAAAAACGAGTCCAATGTGCCGCTTCTAGACACAACTGAACAACTGAGTCACTGTGAACACGCCGACAATCCGTTGGTCCCAGACAGCCCCCTCCCTACACGCCACAACTGAACAAAGCCCAGAGTCACCGTGAACGAACAAACAAACAAAACCACTCACCCATCACACTGTTGGGTTTACTTTAACTTCCAGTGGGGTTTATTTGTGAAAAAAGTTCAAAAATAGACCATTTAATGACAGTGCGCCGCATAATCCAGAGCACCTAATAGCCCAGAAAATACAGTACTGGCCGTAGTTGATCCTAAAGAGGCAGTTACAGACATTTTGACCCAAAAGTCTGATTTTCAACAAATATGCCCTAAAATGCCAAAAGAAGCCCATGGATAGAGACACACTTCTATTTTAGACCCATTTACCCAGAAAAAAAAGTGACTTTAGTGCTTAGTGGCCCTTTAAATAGGTCACCATATTCCATCTAAACATTTCACGTTAAATGGACATATTTATTGTAGATCACCTTAAAATCTAAATGATTTGTTTAGGATCAAGATAAAATAATTATACCTTCAAGCTAAGATTGCAGTTAGTTTTGTATGTTATCAGTTTATGGACAGACCAGGCCTCATGTGAAGCTCAGAACCTCCAAAATTCCCTCTGAGCTGCAAAGGCTGCACTAGCACTGACTCATGACTGGTGCAGGTGTTGGGGTTTAGGGAGTGACCATTCAGATCAGACAGAGGCATTTTAGGTTTAAACACACTATTTTGTGAGTGGATCAACGTCATGAGAACCAAAACACAAAATTATAACAAAAACGACTTCTGCTTTTTCACTTTTTTAAAGAATAAATCAGCATCACAGTCATCAGTAAAAGCTGTATTTGAAAATCTTTTATCTATGGACACAGTTAGGTCATGTTTATGAAATTTAAACACAAAAATCATAGAACCACCTGTCTCTTCAGCCTCTCCATCTCTTCTTCTTCACCATCACATCCAATGAAACTAAACTAAATCCACACACTCTCTCCTGCCAGGGTCAAAGCAGCTTCACGTTCAAACCCAGTAAGTCCTGTACAAGGCCTTCAAAACATGCATCTTTTCAGAAACTTTTTTAATCAAGCAGAAATCTCTTTAAAAAGTGCTTACTCTGAACAGATTGACTTCTAAATCAAAACCAACACCGTATTTCCATGTATGAATACTCAAACCGCACCAGCGCGTCTACGGGAGACCACCAGCTTTGCATAACTCCACTCAGCAAATTGAGAAAAATGATCTTTGGAGTGTAGCAATTAGTTTTTAATGTAAGCTAACCTGCATACATATGTGCTATTACACGCTGATACTGGTTCTGTATTTGCCACATATGGTGTGGGGAGATTAGAGGCGGCAGAGGTCCTGCACTGAGCTGAGCCGCACTGCTCACGTTTAACGGAAGACAAGTCAGACGAGTGTATTTGGTCCATCAGTCCGCAGCTTATATGACGGATCGTTTGAATTTGAGTTTTAATTCATTTTTGGACAGAAAAATATTAAGTAAAATTCAAACCAAATTCAAAATCCCGATCAAAACTATGAAAGTAAAAGTTTGGTAATGGAGCTGAAAATGCATGGGATATTCTCGTCTTAAGAATTAAGGAATGGAACCTGAGTGGATGGGTGGGTGGGTGGTGAGGTGGCTGGGTTAATGGACACTTGAGGTGGAGTGGTTTAAGTTTTAAGGATCGGGTTGGTGGGATGGGGGTAAAAAATAAATAAATACAGAAAATCTTACAGCAAAACCTACAAGACAAGACAAGATTCACCGTCTTCGCAAGTAAACCATGACTATTAACTAAACAGACTTTTCTGTTTGACATGTTTAACATTACCTTTTATTTTGTACCATCATAAACGATACACTTTTATACTTTCATTGACATTGTTATTAGTTTGTACGACCATAAACAAAAACAAACAAACAAACAAACAAACAAACAAACAAAAAAATGGTCGCAGAACTAAGAAAAAAGTGATTGTATTTATAGTATAGTTAGTTTTATAGTGTAGTTTATGGGACAATCTGAGTGATGATTTTAAAAGTCTAAAGCAGGCATGTCCAAACTATGGCCCGTGGGCCTAATGCGGCTCTCAGACAAAATTTTCTTGGCTCTCAGCCTTCCAGGTGAATTGGCCCAGATTACCTTGCATCAATTAAAAAAATTAACTTTTTTACTGAAAGTTTTTTTTTGAAAATCTACCTTGATAAAGCTAATATTTTATATTTAGTGTTTGGCTTTAAGGATCTCAGCATGACTACAGACTGATGGCTCATTATAACATGTTAAACATGCACATATTTCAATTACTCACTGTATTCAGCACCAGTCTACGGCCCTCGATCGGCCCTCTGCTTTGTCTGTTTTTGTGGTCCTTGATGACAACTCCTGGTCTAAAGAGTATAAAGCTCTGGAATTAATGAATTATGCATTACATTTTGTTTGTTTTAATTTATATTTTGTCTCTTATATACAGTAAGTCGTGAGTGTAATTGCAAATGCAAATGCAGACTTGCTGTTCATAAACTGCTTTTCTTTCTTGAAATTCTGTCATTGTTTTCCCGGGTTTGGTACTTTTGCTTCAGCCTGAACCTTTTCGGTCATGATCCATAGAGTTGTAGTCTATGTTTTGTTTTGTTTTGTTTTGTTTCGTAGTGCTGCAAAAAGGAACAGCAATATACCACTGTCGATATGAATGAATAATGCAATAATAAGACACAGCTGCCATAGGACAGACTGACAGGAGGCTGCCAATCTGCACCATCAGCCCCACCAACACCACCATCACATATCATATACGAACCATCACACACACATCATATACGATAGGCAATATGGATGAAGCTGAACAGTTACCACTAGAGCCTCGGCTGCCCCACCGATATTTCCAGTGGTCTCTTATCCAAGTACTGACCGGTAATAAAGCATGTGAGTAAATAAAGATGTGGCTTTTTTTCTTAAAGTGTAACAATCACTGAGAGCAAGTAGATCAGATCACAGCTCACCCTTCTCACTGGACACAGACTTTTTGAGCCACCCCCCTCATGCAGGAGACTAAAGTCCATTTGGACCAGAACCTCTCGCCACAACAGGAACGAATGTTGAACTTTACTTTCACTTTATTACACCTGTCACACGGGTAGAGAGGAGGCTGACTGCGGAGTGTGGTGTCTGGTTAGTCCGCCCGGGGAATGAAGTTGCATGATGCACGGTAGTATGTGCAGAGTTGAAGTTTTGCTTTACGTAAAAGTAAAGCTGTAATAGAACTCTTCACATATAGCCGAAGAAGAAACAATAAAATCTGCACTAAGGTGTTTGCATTTTTACAAGGAGCGTGAGACAAGTGAAAGAAGAGAGACACAGACGTGATGAAGGAGCGAGCAGACAGAACCCACAGAAAAACACTTCATCCTCAGATGCACTGCCCCTCACAACAAGGAAGATCATTTGAATGAAATAATGTTCATAGGCTTTTATATAGTTTGTGTGTCCCATGTCCACACACACATGTTCCATGTGTAGGAGCATATGGACTTGAGAGAAAAGTCTCAAGCGACATGCAACTATAAAAGTCACTGCTTCACACACAGGTGTGTGCTGCACCTGCTGAAACTTTGATTGATTGCATTTATATAGCACCTTTCAAGATACACAGAGTGCTTTACAGTTCATTATCAGTCACACACACAGTGGTGCTAAGCTAGTACTGTAGCCACAGCTGCCCTGGGGCAGACTGACAGAAGTGAGGCTGTCAATCTGCCCTTCCAACCACCACCATCACTCACACTACTTTCATACCAGGCAATGTGGGAGAAGTGACTTGCCTAAGGACACAACATCAGTTTTTTGCTACTGGCACCCCACTGTGGCACCTGGAAATCCAAGTGGTCTCCCATCCAAGTACTACCCAGGCTCAGTCTGCTTAGCTTCTGAGATCTGACAGGATCAGGCTTTGACAAGCTGGTATGACTAAACACTTTCTTTAGACGTTCTTGGAGACAGAGCTAAAATAATCTTGACAGTGAGTCTGGTCCTGACCAGGTTTGTTTTCTGGGT